CCTGATGCTAAGTGGAATAAAGGGAACAGTGACCTCAGGGCAAGATCCCACCAGGTAAGCTTTGAACTTGTGAAAAGGAGTTAAAAGCTTGGAGCTGAATGTGGTAGTGTGTGCTTTTGATCCCAGCACTCCAGAGGCAGAGGGAGGCAGATCTCTGAGTTCAAGGCCAGCCTGGTCTACAGAGTGAGTTCCAGGACAGCCAAGCATAGGCAATGAGGGAAAACATAGAAAACAGAGAGCTGGTGAAAGTGTATTTGAATGAGGGCGCCACATTCCAGCAAGCAGCAGAACTTGGCAGTGTTGGCCACATGGTTTTAGAGTCAAGAATAGAAAAAAGGGCTTATGGAATCTCCCTCCACGACCAAGGAAAGCTGCTGAGGTCAGGTGTGTGTCAGGGGTGTCCCTGCATGGAGGCCTACCGAGGCTATTGTATGAAGTTATGAATTTAAAGCCTGGATTGCCTTGGAGACCCCAAGATGTTAGAGATGCCTGAGCTGTGGGATACCTGCTGAGGAGAGCTCCTAACAGGGAGTGAAAGCAACCCAAGAGAGAGAAGTGTGCTGCGGTCAACAAAGCTGGACAGAGTTGGAGATCTGAAGGGCATTTGATATCAGACATGGAGATGCAGAGTTTGGAGTTTGCCCAGCTGGTTTTTGGTCTTGGTTTGGCCCAGTATTTCCTCACTATTCTCCTTTTCTTCCCTTTTGGAATGGTAATGTATATTCTGTGCCATTATATGTTAGAAGTATGTGATCTGCTTTTTTATTTTGATTTTCTAGGGAGTTACAATTAAGAGATTGCATGAATCTCAGAAGAGACTTTGGACTTTCACAAGCTTGAGACTGTGATAGACTATGGGGACTATTGAAGTTGGACTGAATGCATTTTTTCATTATGATATGACTACAAGCCTATGGGAGCCAGGGAGTGGAGTGTGGTGGTTTTAATAAAAGTGGCTCCCATAGGCTCGCCAGGAGTGGCACTATTAGGAGGTATGGCTTTGTTGGAGAAGGTGTGTCACTACAGGGTGGGTTCTGAGGTCTCATAAGCTCAAGCCTGGCCAGTGTGTCACTGTTACTTCCTGCTGCCTGTGGATCCAGATGTGGAACTCTCAGTTCCTTCTCCTGCACCATGTCTGCCTACATGCTGTCATGCTTCCCACCACGACGACAATGGACTAAACCTCTGAACTGTAAGCCAGCCTCAGTTAAATGTTTTCCTTTATAAGAGTTGCTGTGGTCATGGTGTCCCTTCACAGCAATAAAAACCCTAACTAAGACAGAAGTCAAAATGCTCCTCCAGGGACACTCACTGAGTCAACCATGATATCCGCCACACAATTACCATGGCTCAGAGGAAGGGAAGGGTGATCTGTAAAAGGGTCTGCATATTTCTTTGGGGCTGATGAAAATGTCCAGAATTGGATAGTGTGGTAGTTGCACCCTCTTGCAGATAGACTGAGAATTGCCAAATTGCACTTATTAAAGGGGTGAATATCATGGGCTATGAGTTACATCTCAATCAAAAGCTAGAAAAAATAGGATTTCAAAAAGAAAACAAACTGTCTTGCATAAAGAAAAACAAAGGTTAAAAAAAAAGTCTTAGAAATTCCTAGTTTATATTCACCATTTCCTGGCTTAATTTCATTCTGGCCAAAAGGCATTCCATTAGTGTGGGCTTTTCAGTGACTGTAGGAAGTGACAAATGGTGTGGCATGATTTTAAAGTGAAATGTTATTCTCCCAGAGGGCTTGAGGGAGGTTGTAAATTGTGGGAAGAGAACAGAATTGCTTTCTGATGTTGCCGGAGCCCGGCAATTACAGTGGGCACAGCTCCTGCCCAGCTCGTGGGCAGAGGGTGGCTGGTATGTTTGGGAATTCTTTAGCCTCTCATTTCTCCACGAGATGTGGGGAAAGCATCGCTCTTAACCACGAGACAGACGTAAGGTGCACAGAACAGGTGGGTCACTCGGAGGAATCCGAGGTCTCTGGAGTCACCGTCGTTCACCGTATGGGTGGTGCCTGTGTTCCTCCCTCTCCTTTTCTGAAATAATATCTGACAGATGGTGCTTGTGTGTATTTCCCAAGGAAAGACACGGGCAGAGAGGTTAAACATAGAACCGGTATCAAATGTGATACCCCGAGGGAAGGGATGTTTGAAAGCATAGAAAGAAAAATCATCAATAAGCAGAAGAGGCACAAAGTAAGAACCCAGCGGTTGCGATTTGGCAGCCTCGTGGGTTGTGCCAACAGCAGTGTCTGGGCTGCGGATGGCATCTGGAGAGGGCTCTGTGGCCTCAGGAGGGTCAAGCCATGTTCTGCCTTAGCGGTCTTGTTTCTCCAGCCTCCATTTTTTTCTGTGCAGCATTGGTATCACCCTCAGGCTTTGGAGGATTTGGACACCCTGGGAAAGGAGTTTCCATGCTCACGGGCCCCTGAGACCAGGCCTCCTCCAAGTGGCAATACTGCCTTCTCCAGGACACTTCTGTTCTAAGGACCCAGATCAATCAGAACATCTTGGCAGCAGATGCACCTGCAGAGTAAGCTGGAATGTAAGCGGGCATTGACGTGTCATTAATCACAAAGTAATAAAGACGTCCAAGAGTTCCCAGAAGCAGGAACATCGCTGCCAAGCAAAACATGCAGCGTGGCTAGGCATCCACAGGTAGTCATGGAGCCCGAGGGTCTGCTCCTCACTCCCCCACTCGGGGACGCCCTAGGACTCCCAGGACAGCTCAGACAGGTCAGAGTGCCACAAGAAGAGCAGGTCCAGTGCCAACTTGCCACACCTGGAAGGGAGCTTAAAGTGTGTCCGAAAATAAGTATTTGCTCCGCGAGACCGCCGTGTAAAAGATGAGGTGGCTCAGTCCCTAGCATTTGCCTGGCAGGCGTGAGGACCTGAGTCCGATCACCCAGAAGCTAGCATGGCGCTGCGCTCTGGCAATCCTGTCAGAGTTCCAGGCCAACAAGAGACATCCTCTCAAAAAATCAGGGTGGATGGCACCTAAGGAATGACAGCTGAGGTTGATTGCTGGTGTGTATGCACACACACACACACACACACACACACACACACACACACACATACATTCATCCACACACGGGCACCTATATACACTAACATGTGCACAATATAAATACATACACATACATGCACACACATGGGCACCTGTGCAGACAAACACATACACACATCTGCATCCATACGCGTACATACATGCAGGCATACGCATGGGCACTTACACACACACAGGAAATAAAAATCAAACTGACTTCTGTGTAGGGTACGCCTGGGCAGGGAGAGGCCTCTGGGTCCTCGGATGACCTGCAGCCTCCTCTGGAACCTCATCACCAGCAGCAGCAGGAGCAACAATAGCCACAGAAGTGTAGCCAGCGCCTCCCAGGGGCCGACTGGGGACACGGAGGCTTTGGACAGGAGCGGATGTGGAAGCAGTGTGACACGATGGTCACTTCCTCTAACGGGGAGGAGGCCACAGCTGCAGTGTGACCAGCCGTGGGGGAGGCCTGAGTCAGGCTGGGCCGTGTGGAATGGCTCTTTTTGGAGTTGAAATGGACTATTTTGACTCCAACAGTATTTATTTCTAGCCATGTTGAGCGAATAGGAAAGGATGGGCTGGGCCGCTGAACACTGTATGGCGGGGCCATCCAACAGTCCTCGCCGCTGGAAGTTGTCCGGTCTCAGCCCTGCCTTCCTCTGATGCGCCTGCCCTGCTCTGCTCTGTGGACCCTCTGTCGCTCTCCTCCTCGATGCTGCCGCCTGCTCAGACCATCCTTCTGGACAGGCACTGCCTACTTGGGCTCTGGTGTCCAGGCCCCTCAGCCAGAGCAGCTGGTGACCTGGTTGGTGTCCAGCAATGGAGGACAGCGGTGTTACCACCTCCATTACCTGTGGCCCAAAGATACAGGATCCGTACACACAGGAAGCTTTTGGACTGGGTCCCTCGAGTGGGGAACAGCTCAGGACACTCCCAGCCTGCTCCAAAGCATTCAGGGAAGATCTGAGCCAAGAGCCGAGATGAAGAAGAGGCTCCGTCTTAGCATCGTTTGATAGTCTAGAGGGCAGGTCTTTGGGGAAACTGGTTCAAGTGCCTGGTGTAAGCAGCGAGTGTCGCCACGCCTGATTCGGGATAGCATCAGAACCTTGGGTCCTGTGTAGACTTTGGTCTAATGCACACACAGCTTGTTCTTGTCCCACATGGGGGCCACCTTACCTCATGCATGTTCCTAGGATAAAGCCCTCTGTCTACAACAGGCAGACAGGTAGAGTGCAGGGCCTCTGATGAATTAGCTGGCCCTGGTTGGCCAGCCCAGTTGCCAGGCACACAGCCCCTCCACGTGCCCAGACTTGCTGGCCAAATGGAGTTCTAAAGAGAGTGACACCTGGCCCTCATGTTCAGGGATACCAAACAGGAAGCCTGGCTGGTGTCTTGAGCCATGTGTGGACATGCTGTCTGGACCCAGAGGGATGTTTCCTTGAGTTATGGCAGCACCCCCAAAGCCTCCCATTCCTCTGATTCCTTTGTCCAGGTGGGAGCACACCCCTCCCACTCCCTACATGGAGACCACAGGGGACTTAGGAAAGATAAATGTCCATCTGGACATTGTAGCCTCCTAGCCTGGTGAATCACTGTCTGGGCTCACCATTCAGCAAGGACACTGAGCCTTACACAACAAGCAGAAAATACCATCTCAGGTTTCTTTCTTCAAAGATAACTTGGATTTTGTTGCTTAACATCCTGGGGAGAGAAACCCCAGGCTGTGTGGTAATAGCCACAGAACCTCAACTGGAGGCTCTGTGGCTCAAGAGAGGGAGTGTGATTCATGATTGGAAATCGGCCACTGGGCGCACTTGGTGTGGTGTGCGGCAGGGTTAGCAGGTTAGGGCCAAGGGAGGAGTTGTGTCTGTGGTGACCGGTCCCCGGCTGCCCAGTCTGGAGCCCTGGGAGGACCCGACGGTACAGACTCTGCTGAACGCTTTCCATTCCACTTTAACAATGACAGTTGTTCACACGGTAAAGCCGGTCTCAGAGACTCCTCAGAAGCCTCGGATGCTCACGCCATGACGCTCACACAGTGGCTTGCTTGAGTTCCCATGCTTCTGGTTCACTGATGTCTCATGGCTTCCTGTTGGCACAGGGAGAGGCATTTTCACGGACTGAAGAGCTCTCTGCAGAGGACTCACTGAAGAGCTCTCTGGGGAGGACTCACTGAAGAGCTCCCTAGGGAGAACTCATTGAGAGTCTCCTAAATGATCTGGGGGTGGGGACAGGTATTTCTCAAGCTCCTTTCCTGGTTTTTTTAGGTAAAGGTCTAGTGACCAGCTTTTGCTGTGTGTCAAGTGTTTGAGACGAGCCTGCCATGGTGCCAGTCTGCCCCGCCTCTGGTTATGGACCAACCACTCTGTAGGTGGGCCCGGGCATACTGCCTCTCTTGGAAAAGTGGTGGGATCAGCTAGCGTTGTTGCCCATCTCTGTGTTTGTGGGGACAAGGGGATCCTGAGTCAGAATCTGGCTGGAGCCTTGTGCTCTCTGGCACACACTGATGAGAAATGAGGGTAAAGGTCAGGGCCCGTTTGGTCAGACTGTCTCCCCGAACCCCAATGCCCTTCGCTCACCTGCCTCACTGGTTTGTTACTAGGCAACGGGGAAGCTGGAGGCTACATACAGCTGCCACTGTCTTGTCCTCTGCATAGCTCCTGGCCATGCCCCCCACCCTCTCTGCCATCCTCCACCTCTCCCCTGACCCCTGGTCTCTCTTTACCCAGTTTTCTGCCTCTCACTTTTTTGTCCCTCTGTATGCAGTCCATCTGGGACCCTTTGCCCTCTCTCCCTGTCCATGCCTCTCCTTGCATTTCCTCCGCACCCACCTTCCTCGGCTCCCTAGTGCCCTCTCCTGTTCCATGCCTGCTCCCGGCCCCATCTCCACCTCTGGCCTCGTCGTGCCTCTTCCCCCATAACGGTGGCTCCACGTCACACATTGGACAAAAGCATAGAGTCCTCATCGTGTGTGTGGCCAGTGGAGACCTGCTCAGATAGCCACTGTGTCGTCATCTCTGGTCACTGTGACCCGGTGATACAGAGCTGTGAGGTCAGGTGGTCAGTATACACCTGGAGGGCATCTATGATAGGAAGGTGAGATGGGGTGCACATGGCCATCCTTTCTCTGTGCAGTTAGGTACCCAACACCTGAAAATTTAGGCTGATGAATAACAGTAGACTTTAAAGGTGTTTTATCAATACTACCTGTATTAGTATACAGAAACACAACCTGTAAAGAAAATTAGGAGAAGTTGAGTTTTCAAACACCCATTTGGTGAGAGCCAACACTGTCCTGAAGTCCTGAGTTGGCAGGGGATGGGAAGCTGCCTATGACTTAGGACCTGGCAAACACTGACTCCTTTTCGTTTAATCAATTATGACTATAAGATTTGGGGACTTGAGAAAAACAAGCATTCCTTATAATCGTTAATTTTTAAGGGAAGGTACTTGTTAGAATGTTGTAAAGGGTCCAGGAGACGGGTTAGGTACTTGCTGCACAAGCATGAGATCCGTAGCACCCATTTAAAGTGGGGTGGGGCTTGGTGGCCAGGCAGTCCAGCCAAAACGGTGACTCAAGGTTGAGTGAGAGACCCTGTCTCAAAGCATAAAGTGGAGAAAGATTGAGGAAGAGGTCCTGACGTCAACTTCTGGCCTCCACATATGTCTGCACTGGTGAGTGTTTTATGGGTAGGGTTTGCTTGAATACACATACACACATGTGCACACACATACACAGAGACATGGAGACAGAGACAGAGAGAGAGAGAGAGAGAGACAGAGAGAGACAGAGAGAGAGACAGAGAGAGAGACAGAGAGAGGGAGAGATCACACTGTAAAGAGATAAGAGGACAACAAGCTGGTGGCTCCTACGTGCAGCCTTGGGGTGGAAGCAACATGGGCCTCCACTCCAGAGATGGCGGCTACAGGGCCAAGAGACAGCTTGTATCTGCCCCCACTCCTAGAGACAAACCCTCTTAGGAGTGCCAGGACCAGGGGCCACAGGTTCCCATGGTCCCAGGAGGCCTCCTGGGAGGTGGCCCTCTTACCCTTCGATCTAAGAGGGCTTCGGTCAACACTCTGGGCAGTAGGCTTCTCTGTTTTTCATGGCCACTCAGATGGCCGTAGGAGTCCAGCTGGAAGCTCCTCGAGACTAAACGTAAGGGGCAAGCTCTGAAATACCCAACACTGGCTTTTTTTTTCTGCTTCAAATGTCAAAGAACCACAGTGCAGCTGGCCTGGTTCGGTTGATCTAAACTGGGGTGTGGGGACCACACAGCTGGAGATCCACTCGCCCGAGCGATGGCTCATGGCTGTCCTCCAGCCTCCGTTCCTTCCTGTGCAATTAGAAGCCACTTTCCCTGGAGCCACAAAGAGGCCTCACTTGGCATGGCAGACCAGGTTTCCTCACCAGAACAGTGTGCCATGCCTGTCGGTGCTTTAGGGTAAGCAAGGCCGCTCCCTGTGGCAGGAGGGGACCCAAATAAGGGGGATAGATGGCATTATGGAGCAGCTATCTTGTCTCTACAATGCAGCAGTGTTCAAAAAGTTGGGTGTGTGTGTGTGACAATGAAGTCATTTACAAAATTATTATTTTGTGTGTTTGGTTTATTGCCTGAATGCACGTCTGTGCACCACTTGGAGACCAGAAGAGGGCATTGGATCCCCTGGGATTGGAGTTACAGATGGTTGTGAGCCGCCCACGTGAGTGCAGGGCCCTAACCCTGGGTCCCCTGGAAGAGCAGCTGGTGCTCTCCACTGCTGAGCCACCTCTCCGGTCCTTGATGTTGCTTTTTAAAAAGCCTGTAAGAAATTGTCACTGAGCTGTCCTGAAAAAGACAAGCTGCTACCAAACTTCCAAGAAATAGGGGAGGGTATCAACTACCTGCATGCGCTGACGTGTTCGCCAAGGTGTCTGGGCCAGGTTGCCTCCCACAAGCACATACTGTTAGGAGAAGGTAGAAGCAAGTGTCTTGGGCCTGGGGACAAGGTGGAATAAGGATGCAGGAAATGAGGGAGGCTGTGGTGAGCTAAATGTGCTTTGCATTTATAATTTGCATAAATTACATTTGTTGTAGTTGTTGCCCCAAATAAAACCCTGTAGATCCCATGCTGTCCCATTCGACGGCTCCTTGAACTCATCCCTGCTCCCTGGAGTTTTGTGATGGAATCTTGTTTTTTTTTCCTTTCTTTTTCCCCCAAATAATTGGTTTTGTTTTCTCTTTCCCAAATTTAAATGGTGTAATTCTCTGCAAAGGAGACTTTCTGAAAACTGAATGACTACCACAAATCACATTTTTAATGAAAAAAAAAAATCTATTTTAAGTGAAGGAATCTGCGGTTTGTTTTAAAAACACCTAATGGGCGCCAGACACTCTCCACAGGACACCTCATGCATTTTCCCCATCCCTCTCTAAAGGAGGCATCTGATGGCTAGGAAATGAAGTAACTTTCTAAAGATTGTGAGCATTGACCTGGCAGAACCATGGGCATAACCCAAGCATTCAGACACCCAAACCCCTCAGGAATTTAAATTAAAAACCAACGACCAGTTCTTACGCGGCGGTAAGAAGTATTGCCATGTACGGCACAGGCCTCTAAATCACACCCACTTAAATTAGGAGCCATGAGTTCAAGCGGAGATTTTACCAGCTTCAGAAGTATGACTCAGAGCCATCAGACTTCCAGTTGGCCTCGTGGAGTCCATCCGTCGTCGCTGCGGGTTCCGCGGCCCCCCAGAACCCGTGGTGCCTCAGCACAGCAAGGTCACCGCTTCCCATGACAGGGCAGTGAGAAAACTCAGTTTCCAGGCTGCTTCAGCCGGCTGATGGAATCTTCAAACTGTCAGAACAGAATTGATGTGTTAAACACATTGGCACCACTTAAACTTTGTCTCCCACATTTCAAGAATGCCACCTTCTCCTTTCTTCTCTGGTATCACAATTAGCAGTAATTAAAATATCAAATGTTTCACCATTGAGGTGATGACTTGTTCTTCCTCTTCTTCTCTTCCTCCTCCTCCTCTTCTTTTTTTTTTTTTCCTATGTTGTCAAGATAATGACTTTCAGTTTTGTTCTGAAAGGGGGTAGAGGGGAGGAAGGACCAAGCTGACGAGGTATTCAAGAGAAATCCATGGTGAAGGCATCGCTGTTTGAGACTGATTCAATGCGATTTCAGCATCATTAGTCCAAGAATCCGGGTCAGGCTCCCTAGTGAGACTCGAAGCCTGTGAGGCGTAATTAGTTAACTGGTCAGTGTTCTTCCTTTCATTGTTGTGGACAGAGGGGGCAAGGAAAACCCCTGCTCTTCCCTCTCCAGAGCTTCACTGAACCTGCTGCTTCCCGGCCCACTGAGCCTGCTTCCCGGCCCACTGAGCCTGCTTCCCAGCCCAGTCCCGAGGCCCTACTGTGTTCCTTCTGTCCACCTGTGATGCACGCCTCTGAGGGAGAGGGAAAGGTGTAGAGAGTTTTGGGTTTTTATTTTAACGGCTCAGCAACCACTCACCCCTTCAGTGCGTGCTGACTGAGCGCCCCCTACCGGCTGGGGTTGCTGCGAGGCTGCTCTTCCTGAACTGATCCGCACCATGCTCAATGCAGCACTTAGCAGAGGAGATGCTGGGCCCTGACTGCATTTTACTGAAACAGAAAATGAACAAGCATGGCAGGCGCCTTCTGTTTTTGAGCCTGCAGTGGAAGGAAACCTGGCTGAGGGCACACAGGCCTTCCTTCCGTCACAGTGAGGACGCTCCTCCTGTGTGGGAGTTCCACGGAGGGAAAGAAAGGCCCAGAACTGAACGGGACATACGTTCATGAGCGAGACACTAGATTCTCTTTAAAATAATTTCTAAGACTCCCAAGTATCGATTCATGTTTTGAAGCATCTGCTCTGAACCTTGCCCATAATGACCCAAACTCTTCCTCTGGGGCTCAGGGTGGAGGAGGGTCTCAGACTCTGAACGGAACAAGAACTAATCAAAAGAATGTCACTCGCGGTCTCCCTGGAGATGGTGGGTTCCCAATTAACCCAGTTCAGCAGAATCAGAGGGATGCGGAGCTCTTCTGATCCTCTACAGCAGCCTTGCCTGGTGTGGCCAAATACTCTCCTTTCATCTGTGTGTTTAAAATCACTGGGGACAGCTGACTTTACTGCAAAACGCCGTAATTTAATAAACTTCCTGGAGTTGGGCAAAAGCTGTAGGAATCGGGGCTGGCCTGAGATTTGTTTCCCGGGTGACAGTTTCTAGTATGCATAGTTTCAAATTATATATTCTCCCTCTAACACTAAAGTAACCCCCCCCTCCAGTCAAAGCTGGTTGCAAGATTGTGCTCTGTGAAAAACCCCTCTATCAATATTGTCTGAAGCTGCAGGCTTCCAGCCGCTCTGCTGTGAGGAAGAGTCACAGGGCCTTAGCTGCCTTCCAACTGTTAAGAACTGGAGTAGACACACAATGCTACTACATACGATCGATACTTGGTTTAAGTTGCTTAGCACTTAATAAATAGCTTTCGGCCTCTTTGAATGGTCTCTGAGGCGAAAATATTGACAGCACAATTAGTGTGATTTGAGTCGAATGGAATATTATAATGTATTGATTCTAAATTATGAATAGCCTGGTTGCCCTCTGCAAACCGAGGGCCAGGCCCTGTTGCTGAAGACAATACCTACACGACTCATCGAGCACGGAGGAGCTGAGCCGGTGCCTGTCTGGAGCTTTCTCCCCAACTGACTAGTGTTCACGGTACTGAAGGTACTCTGTATGCTACCAGAGGAGAAGGTAGAAACCGACCTAGCTACAAACCTGTTGTTTTAAGGTAGTCGCCTGCCTACCTGTAAGATATGAGGTGTAATAGTGGCGCAGACAGAGCTTGTGGGAGTAACCAACCAACATCTGATTGGACTGAAGGCCTGCCCCATGAGACAGAACTCAGTCCTGGCACTGCGCAGATGGCCACGAACCTGGCACTAG